ACTAGCAGCGTCGTGCAATGTGGCGCTGTTCATGGTGGATCCACTGCGCGTGCTTTACAAAACGTGGTCGCAGGTAATGTCAGGCCACGGAGCTACAATGCCATCCCGGAAGCTTGCAGAACCATTTCTGCAACGCCTGTTATTCTTGCTGACTGAGCGTAATGGTCATTTTGATTAGGTCGAGAATCTTTCAAGTTCGAACAATGTCACTGACTCGTGATGATCGTGTGAACACACACCAGACCTAGGACGCTTGCAATGAAGTTTCCTGGCTCATCAAACGACTATGTGCTCGTTTGGCTGGAAAGGTACCATTCTATTTCGTGTCCAATCTCGATCCTTCATCTTGTTTTCCCTAGCATTACAGCTGCCTCATCTGGAGGCTGTCTGGCCCATGCCAAGAGGTGAGACGAAGAAAGACTTCATTTGATGTCTTACACACCAGGCGACATAGGGTTTGTGTGCTGGTTCTGGCTTTCTATGAGCCTTGCTGCGAAGAGGTGCCCACCCGTCCCCTTGCCAAAGACGCGAGTACAGACAGCGCCATCATGGCGAGAATAAAAAATTGAGGTCGGTCTTGAGATCTTAAAACGTAACCGAGCAAAAGTGTTTAAGTGTGGGTCATCTTGTCAGCTTGCCTCCCATCGTTATGGGCGCTATCTCTTACAGCCATTTTGCCGTGGCACCCTCGCCCATTCGTATGGCTCGTGCTTCTGCACGTGGAGCACATACGTGGAAGGTCATCTGATGGGAAGTAACAGATGCCTGAGGGCGAAGCTACCGACGCCGACAAACGTCCTCCAGACGGCCGGGCTCTCATTGTTCCCGAGGTGGCGGCGTTGGCAGGAATTCGGCGCGGGGGGTGGGCTAGATCTGGCGCCGGGGGTGCCGGCGGCGTCGTCAGATCGACCGATCGTCTGCCGCCGGCCGACGGCACCCATAGCTCACCGCTGGGCTACCTCTGCGCGTCGGCAGCCGTGGCGAGCGAGTGAAGGCCGCGCCGTCAGCGGCCGGCACCGTCCCGCGTTGCGGTGTCGCCGGGGTCGGCGTCGCATGCGTGACGCCGGTGTCAGGAGACTACCTTTCACCTGGACGCCGGCGAGGGGCAGGACGCCCCCCTCCCCCCCCCCCCACACACACACCCTCACAGATCATCTGTCGGGGGCTCCTCGCCCAGGTGACCGCCGCTTGAGCCGGCGACCGGCGGTCGGGGCGGCTGCTGAGTCAGGAGCGCCGCGGCCTGAGGTCAGGTCAAGGCGCGCCGCCTCGGCGTCCTTCGTCGGCCCACACCATTATGAGCCGCTGTCCGGTTACTGGGGTGAATCAACAGCGCCTTGGGCTGCGGCGGGGCTCGTAACGAGAGGAGGAGGCGCCGCCGCCGCCCCCCAGCGACGCAGACTCCGGGGCGTCGGCCGCGTCGCCGTCCAAACACGCTCGTTAGCCGCCGCCGAAACGGTAACAATTACGACGCCGGTTCATTACTGGATGGCGGCGCGAGGCTGGGCCGGCTCGGGCCCGTCCGACGCCCGCCGGCCGTCGGCGAGGGCGCCGTGAGACCGGCGCCCCCCGCCGGCTGCGCCGCTGCAACCCGACAAACAAGGACTACAAATACGCTATCGTGCCGGCATTAGCGGCGCCGGCAGTAGGTGTGGTCCCACAAAACAGAAGGTCCGGCTGTATTTAACGCTGCGCCGACCCGCTGCGTGGCCATTTGCGCACCTCACGAGAGCAATCGGTCTGCTGTCCGTCTTACTGCCCGCTGCCCCTTGCGAGCCATTACGTGCTACGCTCGAGCACGGGTTCACTGCTTTCGGTCCGGACCCGTACAGCACACGATTCAATGTTTGGTATTGAACCATGTAGTATGGACCTCATGCTACGGCTGATTAGAGCGCTAAGGAAACATTAATAGGCATGAGATGTTTTTTTGTTTTTTTTTTGTTTTACTTCAGTGTCGTTACGAAAGGTATACTCTGCTAGGTAACAGACAACTCATCTTGTTGTTGATACATGCATCTAAAAATGCATGGGCTCCGTGCACGTTACGACTCCGCTAGCCTTCTTTTACTACAGCGCTTATGCTTTTAGAATCCACCATAGAAGTCCACTATGCTGCTCTAGTCGCCATTTGTTTCCTTGTGTTACGTGACGATGATTAGTGGCACTGGCTCAGACGCGTGTAATGTCACGATGAATGAACCCATTCTGGTGATGATGTAAGTGGTTTAGGAATTCATGAATGCCATCGGTCTTCCCGGCACGCGAGGCTGGAAAACAATGGCGGTTACATTACGTCCACCTCAGCACTATAAGATGAGGTACCCGGTTCTCGTTTCACATCCTCCGTTTCGGAGCACGCTTTGAAGCGTGGCCGAGCCGCTGATTGTTACCTTCGAAGTGGTTTTGCTGGCGGTTACCACTCGTTAATCTCTAATGTGACGGCCGTGCCCTCGGGCCTGTGATCTGACGGGGTCGGCCGCCTCCTCAGCGCCAGGGGATGGAGGCGTGATGGGACGCGAGGCTCGAAACGCCATGCCGACAGGGACCGAGGCCCTTGCCAGACCGGACCGGACTCGCCAGGACCGGCTGGTCGGGTCCGGTCACGTCGCGGCCCGACCCTCGGTGGTCCTGCCGGCCGTGGAGACGCCGGACAGGGTCCGCCATTGTCCGCTGGCACCAGGGCCGTGCCCGCCGACAAACGTCAACCGTGTCCGAGATAAGCGCTTAAAAGCCCAGTCCATCAGCGCCAACGGAGGGTCGGATTCTGCGAACGGCGCTTTCAGAGGTTCCTTTTCTCTTCGGCGATCTGGGTTCAAATGACTGAAACGGCCCCAGCATCGATGATTATATGGACGTTGGCTTCAGAGGAGGAGCGAAGAAGTAAGTGCAGCCCAATGTTCCACTTTTACATGGACATTAAGATAAAAGGATGTCCAATAACATTGGGGATGATGTCAATAACCCACGCTTGATAGCGACAGTCAAATGTAATGTGAAATGTTCACGACATGAGCGGGACAGAACCTTCAAATAGCCCATTTACAACTTTCCACGACCTGGCAACTGCACCACTAAAAACGGCCCAATAGAAAAGCCAAATCAGAGGCGACCTGAGCTTAATCGGGTATTTTTGTAGTTCGGACGTAAGCATAAAAAAGAACCACCTCGATGCTACTGTCAGGCCAGCTATTTCAAAGTGGGTCATTTTTGTGGCAGGTTTAGCTGACCTTGCTACGAGGCGACGAAATCAAATAATATAGATCCCATTAGCAAACCATTCAACGACAGCAACCGGCCTTTTTTTCTTACCGCCAGTCGTTTATCTCAGTAAGGCGACAGTATGGCTCTACTCAAAATGCGGCAAGAGGGAAAACTTTCGGTAGATGGGCTTCCCATTGTTTGCAAGATCAAGATCTAGCGATGTTGCACCGTGCTAGGCTGGATTGTTCATCAACGGGAATTGTGGACTGCCCACTAGCCTGCCAGATAGATACGCAGATGTTTTACATTCCAGCCCCTCCCGAATAGAAATATACGTAGATATCATGCATAGGTATTGCATGACAAACAAACTACGTATTCTAATTGCCCATAAAGCTTATTTCACGATGAATCCTTTTTCTACCAGGACATGTGTACCTTTTCCATGAACTAGCGTGCTCACGCTGCATGTACGCATGAGCATTTACGGATCGGAAGGTGAGTTTTTGGAAGTATGGGAAGGTTTTTACGTGGGGAAAGCTATCCTTTCAGCCTGCTTTAAGGAAGCAAGGCTTTCCGGTTTGTTCAAGGCCTTATGCTCATTATACATCTGGCGTTCATATGCTGACACTGATCGGCCTTTCATGTGCTGATAGGTAATGGTTAAACGACTTGATTCAGCAAACCTTAGCGGCGCTGCCAAAGCTCAATGCTCACAATGTTTGGAGCGACATACCCAGTATTTGCTCACCAGCATCGTTTACCACGTGTCTGCTGGCAGGTTTGGGGCCCATTGCTGTCAGCACAACAACTCCAGCACCACTTTTCCGGGCTCACTTTTGTGGTGTGCTCCAGCTGCTCCGATCAAAATCGTCAGCACAGTGGGAAAGCCCATCAGGCGGGACGCCCAGGGCCGTGTCCGCAGAGCTTGCATGAGCGGGCCACGCCAACAGAAACGACAGCAGCCTTCGCACGTTCATATCGTGACACACGCGATGGTCGATCTCAAAAATGAAAACCCAATTTAGCAACAGTGCTGCACTTATCAGACAGTGGTGTTGCATAACTGCATCCAGTTTCACTGATTTGGTCTGATTAGATTTGTGATGGGCAGATGGTTGGCACGACCTATCCGCTCATAATGAATATATTGTTTATAGATGAGAACAAATTTAAGCCCTAGACAAGTTTTCATTTCCGATCAATGCAGAGCAGTGGAAAAGTTGTAATTCAAGAATGGTCCGATATAATTTACCACGCGTAAGACACCACTGTAATAAATGTAACCAGCATGTGTTCACTGTAGCAGCACCTCCCATCTACGCATGTTGCTGCTTCTTAGCAATTGAAGCTTGGGTGGACCAAAGGTGTTGAACAAATGTTGAAGCTCACATTCTGGAATCATGTTAAAACGTGTGAGAGCGAACGAGTGACAACACGAAAAAAGCCATGAGCCAGAAAATTCTGAAGTTTTTTGCAAGGTGCATATCCATTCAGGTTTGTCATGCGCGATCTTCTTTACATGCATTTGCAGTTTGAAAATTTAAATGCATCGTTTGACGATCAGTGTGAGCATGTTTTGTCTGTCATCAAATGGCGATTTCCTTCGTTCCTGCACTACAGTATCAGCTATATTCACTACGTAAAAACAAAAGCAATACTTGGCATTGTTACCTGACTGCCACCCCGTCCATCGCGCGATTTACGCCCTCGCGGGCTATGTGGGCTACCAAGCTTTCAAAAATTGTGATAACGCAGAGCGCTTCTGATGTACCGAAAGAGCACGCTAGTTGTTCTTTTTTATTCGTCCGCTGCGAATCTATGCACTGTTCACAGTAAACAAACCACGGTCACATATTATCAAGAACCATACGCCGGTATCAATGCATCTGAAATCCAGAAATAAAACGAAATTAGCTCCCAATCATTTAGAGGACTCTGAATCAAGTCTTCTGAGTCTTCTGAATTGATGGTCAAACACTTACCTATTCGCAATGTCCCAGTCATCGCGAACCACATTGTTCTTGACTCAATCATCAGTGCTTTGACCCCCACTCGTATGGTTATAGCGACTCTCGTTTCGCCGCGCATCGCGTACCTTTGCAACGATCCCAGTGATCTTCTTTCCGACAACACATGATACGGTGCTCTTACTATCTTGACTCCACAGGCGGGGGTGACTCGAACGGCGGACTCCCGCATTGCCGTGACTCGACTCCCGCGACGCTCTCTGTGCTGCGGCCCGGCTCCTCCCCGAGCTCAGTAGTGCATCTCGTCTGCCGGCTTGGCGTTCCTCTCTCTGGCCCGCTCGATATCCCGGATGTAGACTGAGAACGGTGTCAGGCGTCAGGTCTCCGCAGGTGCAGAGTCACGAGATGAAGCAGTTGGTCACACCTATCAGGTGCGCAATCGAGCTGGATGCAATCGAAGGTCTTCAGAAGAGCGCTTCGCTTCGGCCATGCTCGTGGCTCAGGAGGTAGCAGCGAGACATGGCGATAAGACGCGCGCTAACATTACGAGCTCAACAAGAGCCGCGGAACACGAGTAACGCCGCGGAAAAATAACGCCACACAACATCACGACTTTGATTCACGGCACTCTCCACCTGGTTTTTGTAGCTGGTCTAGTCGCCCGCGTGCAGCCACACGAACAAGACCTGCCTACAGCTCAACGACAGGATCACCCTCTTCATCACATAGAAAATCCATGACCAGAGCAGCAGCAGCGGGCGAGCAGGACCACCCAGCATCTCCAGCGGCCGCGGTCAGTCACGGCCCGTGGGCCAGCGCCCCCGACCTAGATAGCATTCCTGCCGCGTTCGGCGGGCAGCCGCTCGTTAGGTGTGGTCAGACGCGAAACCGGAGAGGAGCCGCCGACAAGGTCACGTCCGGCAGTGACGGTAAACAACGCCGAGACGTACTCTGATACGGTCATAACGTGCGCGCGTCGGGCGGCGCAGAGGAGGGCAGCGACGAGGCAGGCGGAGTGGTGGGCCGTGGAGCCGGAGAGGCGATGGGGGAAGGGTAGAGTGAAGGGCGATGAAGAAGGGGCCACCAGCAGGCGTGGATGCATACCGAGGCCAATTTCAGTCACTTGACGAGACTCTGGCTGACGTGTGATGATGACTTGCGCTTAGGGCGCGCCGACTGCATCAGGCATATGGCATCCATGTCGGAACGGCGACAACAACAGTGTTGTCCCTGAGACCTTAAAAGGAATGCGGCGGGAGGAAAACGAAAGACGAAACGCCTTTCCCTCGTCACGCAAAGGCAACATTTTTGTGAAGATAGCAGACCGAAGGGAAGTCCCAATCCGTGCAACAACAGGGCCTTTTGTCTTACTATTTTTGTCTAGCACTCCAGTGAACGCGGAAATTCTGAATACAGAACAGAGCGTCCCACGCCAATAAAAGCCATGACCACGGCCTGTCCCAAGATTCCAGCAACTGGGCGGTCCAGACTGCTTTGACGGTGGTGAATGTGGCACGGGCTCTGCCGGCATCCGTGTGCACTGGTGTACCCAAATAGCCATGAGCCCGCGCAGAACATCGTGGGCTGATGTTGCTGTTACAAACGCATCAAGGAGGTGGTCATGTGCCCATGAACAGTCATGCAATGCAAAGCACATTAGCGTTGATTTGAAGGCGTTGTCAGGCAGCTTCACCTGTCCTGACGACGCGGGAGATAGCGATATATGCAGCCACTCGTTCTTCAGTCTTGGGTTCCTTATAAAGCTAGCCTCTACAATGCATGGTTGGTTGTACCACGCAGTTCATAGCTCAAAGGGCTGACCAGATGTCTGACAACGATGCCACGTGTCCTCCTTGTGTAAATGTGCGGAACTTCGATTAAACGGCATGGATTATTCTAACTAAAAGCGCATTGCGGTGAAAGGTCGCACAGATGTCCTGGTTAACTGTGACGCAGCACGGAAGAAATACAAGTTACAATGAAAGTATGTGTCTTTATAACACTTCCGTCGTTTTGTGTGCATTACAAACCGCATAGCGCTCTTGAATGCCGCATGACCGCGCGTGTACTCCAAGATCCCGTGCGTGAGCCAAGACCCTGTACATGGACCAAGACGCTGTGCGTGAAGCCCAAACCCTGTGTTCAGGCACAACGCTTACCTCAAACTAAACCAATGTGACCCAAATAAAACCACGTTATCGGACACGATAGCATCATAACGGCGCATGATGGCGCCTTCTAGCGACAGCACCCGGGGCCCCTAGCAGCGAAGGACACAGCTAAACGGTCCGCCCAGATGACCAGATAAGGCGGAGCCTCGCCACCTGGCCAGCTCACTCCGCGGTTGAACCCGGCGCCCGCAGCCCACGGCCGGCGCCCAGCGACCGTGAGCGGTACCTGCAGATTTACGGCCAGTCGGAGGCTGACAACGTGCCAGGGGTGAAGCACGCCGACCATTTACGGTCGCGCTCCCAGTCTTGGGCGATTCTCAGCTCTCACCATAACGCGCTGGTCGTCAATAGCATTCCAGACACAAATGCACTGCCCGTGCTATCGAAGTTGCAGCGGCATTGAACGCACCTCTCGGCTTGCATAAGTTGCATTATTGATGCAATGCAAAAGGCACGGCACATTTCGCACCTCTTGTACCCGCCATTCATGGTTGACAATTAAGCTGTCAGAGACAGGCTCTTACGCCTCACTTCTCGCACCGCATCTCTCACATTCCGCTCACCTCTCACCACGTCCGCGTTGTCCGGGTGCAGCTTGATGGCCTTCTCGAAGCTCTGCACGGCCAGCTGGAGCTGACCCAGCTGCTGATGGGCCTTGCCCTTGTGGATCCATGCGCGCAGGCTTGTCTCGTCCAGCCGCAGCGCCCAGTCCAGGTCCTGCAGGGCCTCCGACGCCCGGTTCAGCTTCAGGTACGTCTGGGCCCGGGATGTGTAGAGCAGGCAGCTGTCCTTGAGCAGCGCCAGCGCCTGGAACGGTCGACAGCGGGGAGGTGGCGGCGCGGAGGAGCTTGCGACCGCGGTCCGCGTGGCGGCCGACCGTCTCGTGATCAGCGGGCAAGGGGTCCCCTCTGAGAAGGCGCTCTTTTTTGCCAGCGTTTTTTGTAGGCTAGAATCGGGTTCATTCCTCCCGTTCAGACCACTCGAATCTGAGGGATGAATGCACGCCATTTGGCGGACTACCTCGAACATGACAGATAGCAAGCGCAGTAATACTGCATCCATCCGACCTGAATTAACCACAGACCCCGGCATTTTCCTCCACAGGCAGCTCAGTATCAGCAAAAATGGGGATTGAGCGTGCTGGCACTGAAGTGGAGCCGCAATAGCCGGGGGCGTTCTTCCCCGTGGTTGGCTGCAATAATATTCCGCTGTGGTGTGATGGGGTGTGTGGCATGCACAACTCTACATAAAGAAGGACGGCAGACGGGCGCAGTTGCATAAGAAGACGAGAGGGTGGCAGCCGAATATCAGGGGACAATCGACCACGGCAAACTCATGGTGGACGGGGTTCCGCATAAGCCACCAGGTTCCACATAAGCCACCAGGTTCCACATAAAATGTGACGCCATCTGAGCACGAGTAAAAGCCACGTTGAATACCAGGGCCGCGTCGGCAAGGGAGCAATATCCGAGGGTAATGATTCAGTGCCCGGGACCTGAGATAGACATAAAAACCACACAAACCGCCAGTTGCATAATCGGCATAGGCATACTGTATGCATGAGGTTTCATCAAGGCATCAATCTGAGGGGCAAATGCACTGCAACACTGTACATATTCACAAACGACTTTTGACTCCAAACGATGTAAGATGAACGCGCTCCTTAACCTAATCGTTGACCACCGCCAAAATATAGTTTTAGAAACGCACGTCAACATGTGGAGTCTTTTTTCGAACTATGCCTGTTTTTCCCCGCCCCAAGCCACAAAAGAAACGATGATAGCGCCAGTAACTAACAGCACATCACACTCGTCCAGTTCTACAGGTCAAATCATGCTTTACGACTGCATTTACGCCTGCGCGTATGTTTTGCTGGTTTGTATCATTCCGACCCCAAACAAACGCCAGGACTCACGTTTACAACCTCTTGGTAGATACTTGGGATGTCACCCAAATGACCAAATTCTGAGGTTGATCCCATATTACTGGCTCACCTGCACACGCCCGGATTTTGGAACAAGGCATCCAAAGTTGCATTATACCTGTTAAGTTTATATAGTTCGGTCGTAATTTGCTTTGCACGGCGTGACACGCATTCCTCGCGGCTCCATCTGAAAATGGCAGGCTTCAAGAACGCCGGGTGACGTAGAATTGTGATAGGCCTTTGGTCAGGCGAGAGCCAATGAGAGTGCAACCGATTTTGCCTATCACATGCTCCGTAAAGGTACAACGCCACCGTTGTAAACATTCTGAGACGCATTAATCAAAAGCAAGAAGTCACTTTTTTGTTGAATGACCCGGTTTGTCGCGGAGTAGGTCGTTATCTCATAGCAACAGGCTCTGTAGCCCCACTATGGGCTTCTTATGCAACTGAGAACGACGGAAATTTTTCTTATCTTCGTTAGAGAGAGCCTAGCGTTCACTGTTATCTAGAAAAATAACGTGCCGAGAGCGAACTGGAAGGCAGCATCGGAAAGCTTGCGTGCAACCGAATCAGATTTGTGTCAATGAACACCAGTCCAATCCATATCTGATGGGCGAACCGAAGTTAACGGGGTGAAAATAGTGAATGGGTGTCCCTTTTTGTATTTAGAGCTAAGCCTGCTATGCACTTGAGGAAAGCGACGTTGTGTAGCCCATAAAGCAACGAATCGTGTAATAATTGTAAGGCAAGCATTATTGGGTAAAGTCTGTGATAAGCCAAATCCGGCTTTCGAAGTCAAATCATGTGTGTGAAGTCCCACCTCAATCTCTCAAGAACTGAGCATGATACAACATCAAAAGAAACGACGCTGAAAACCGGTTATTAAACCGCATCAAACATCGGTTGATACGGCCTAAGATATATCCCAGTTCCCGAACCGTCAACACTAAATTAAGTTGTCTGCGACTGACACCTTTAACCTAGCTTGGTCTTGGGTGACCTGTCTTTGCGTGTCTGGTGAGACACGGCAAATCAATACGGGATAGTCCTTTGAAGCGCATACCATCCGACACCGCACCACGTACCACCAGAATGATCTCGGCGAAGAAGCTGTAACAAACGTGTTAGGGCTTGCCTACTCAGCGCAAATGTCAGCGCTTAACTACTTACAATTCCAACACATGCCTTAGGCGGTTCAAAAGCTATCCCTGAGAACTGCTTCTGAAAGCCGTCGTCCCACAAGAGACGAGTGGAACCACATACCCCAAAACGGACGATGCTCGACAGTCACTGCTTCAGCGTTATCATGCCTCTGACACGCGCTCGGATGGGGGGGGGGGGGTCAAATTGGCCCCACGAAGATTTTCCCAGAATGTTTTACGACCAATCAAATAGTGTATCGCTAGGCATCAAAAATTTAGATGTACCTTGTAAGGTCGCTGACCTATGGCAGGTCAGCCAGGCCATGATTTCGGCAAATTCATTTTCTGGAGATTCGCTCAACCTGATGCAAAAACGGAGTGTCAGACGAGGCCATATATCTCTAAGATGCTTTCTTAGGCAACACAAATATTGAACGAGCAAATTGTGTCGGCCTCAAGTCAGGTACGAAGGTCGGACCAAGGTCAAGAACAACCCGTTTTATTACTATAGGGCCTGCTGTATGGGATAGTTTCTGGTGCTCATTTCGATGTATTAATAGCAGGGGCCGCATCATACATCCTCCATGGAGTTATTAGAGTTAAGAATAGGTCATTGACCTGAGACGACCCAGGTCAACATTAAGTTGTTAGAAACAGTGCTGCCTAGTGTAGTCTTTGGCGCCTATTCAAATGCAAAACTCAGAGCAGTCTTGCATTATTTTGGTCACCATGACATTCGAGAGGTCAAACAAGGTCACTGACTTTAACTGAGCATGTCAACTTTTGCTTAGAAACAGTCATCTAGGTTCTAGGGGAACGCTGGAGACCAACCTGGAATTTGACCTTATTTGACCCAAAGGTGACCTAGAAACCTCAAACTTTGACCTAAGTAACTTTATGTTTTAAGTAGGTCCACACACTCTGTAAATTTGGTTTCTCTAGCTTTCTTAGTTCCCGAGATCTCAGGGGTTCAAGTTGACCCCCACCCGAGCGAAGGGTATCCAACCGGCCACCCGGGCGCGTGGTAAGCTCCTGCATCTTTCAATCTGCCTTTCACCAATTTTAGTACGCTCTTTCCGACCACAATCCTCGTGAGTGGTGCCCGTAAGTTGACACACGTGAATGCTGCGGACGCCGAAATTACTCTGACGGCCTTACGATGGCATTACAAACAAGTGCCGAGCCACCGTGGCTGAGCCCCCAATAATGACAGGCAGCTGTGGCGGCGATAAAGTGAGCTCTAACCGCACGCCACTCAGGCCTGTCGAACAGGACGTCCTTGAAAAGGCAGCACTGCTAATTTATGCATATATCATCCTCGCCTAGCCTAGTAACGCTCTGCTTGGGTCTGTTATATAATATCGCATCTGTTCCTACCGAAATCCTGGCGTTTTTCTTGGGCGATATGCACACCGAAGAACTTGACTAGTCACCCTGTCCTATTCATGAATTTGCTCTGTTCGTAGTTTTTCTGCCTGCCATTTGTGGAGGTGACGGAAAAAGCGACTGATCTTCTGGATACCGCTCTGAGGTTTATTACTTTACCCACCAAAGGTTGTAAATGGTCCTGTTTCAGAACATTACCGCTCGCGGAAAGAAAGGTAACACTCGTTGTCCGGGGAGGGGGTAGAAGACTTTTTTCCAATGACCATTGGCAAGAGCCAAGAAACAAAAGAAGCAGAAAGTTTGGAATCAAAGCTTTGGTTAACCTGTGACCCTCCGTGTCAAGGTAACATCAATGATCGGAAACATTCTGTCGAAAAATAAAGACCCATCGTGAAAACAGCAGCTCTCCCCCCCCCCCCCCCGAAATAGCCAATGGACATAAATACGTGCAATGAATGAGAATTGTTGCAAAACGTAATTGGGGCCAACTTATGGCAAAAAGGTCATCACTCTTAATTTATCTCGTTTGACATTGAAAAGGTTAGTAAACTATCAAAAGCTACTCGTGCGCTAACGCCATCTTATTTCCAGTTTTGGTCCCTACTGCGTGCTGCTTTTTCGCGATTGACTGATAACGAACGGCACCCTCAAGATGGTTTTGTAAGCCTCCGAAAATGTCATCGCATCCCAGCAATATGATATGACATGGGATCAATGCGTGGAGAAAATAGGGCCAGTAAGCACATACCGATGCCAAACAATGTGGTGCTGTTTTTTATCGTGCTCTATGATATCAACAATGGCATTTCGTAGTTTGGATTTCTACCCTTCCTTCCTCCGCAACGACGCTGAGGGTTCACTATGAAATGCAAGAGAGGATCTAAGTAGCTTCCATTCGATGAGGTGTCAGTGTTTCGTTCTGAAAATTGGAACCAGAGAAGCAGCTCATGGGAGGACAAGACCGGTTCCGTAACAGATATATCAGAAGCCTTTTGTGAGATCGCAGTTAAAAAAGGCAATACAAAATAACTGCAATTGGCCTATAATAAAACTATCTTATGACAAAAATAAACATTGGCAGGAACGATTTTCCGCCAGGCAATTCGACCATTTTCAGAAACTATGAGAGTGCGACTCACCTGCGCTCATCCCAGAACGGAGCTTTGCGCAGCAGCTTCTGGTAGATAACTTGACAATTCTTAGGTTCAGAAAAATTGGCATGTACTAGCTATACTAACGACAGCAAAAGGAGCCTATCGAAAGTGCGTCAGTTTCTCAAAAACATCCGTTGATCAGTGTAACTGACATTTCCAGATATCTCATGCTGGTTTTTAGTGTTTACAAATAGGTGTCAGGATAAATGTGATTTGGCTCAGACCTATCGTGGCATGGCTACCTACATATGGCGTACCGAACCGGGCCAGGCCTAAGTCCTTCATCGAGTCGAGCACAAGTATTTGAAGTAGTATGTAACTTTCGGCTCAAGCCGTACATTTGCACCGCTGCGAGCTACGCACCCTTCCCAGTTTGCACAACCCTCCCAGTCTGCATACCCCGCTCAGTTTGCACACCTTTCAGTTTGCACACCCCTCCCAGTTCTCACACCCCTCCCAGTTTACACACCCCTCCTAGTTTGCACGCCCCATCCAGTTTGTACACCCCTCTTAATTTGCACACCCTCTCTCAGCTGCAGCTGCTTTTTTCAGACAAGTGTGGTGACTTCTTGCAGAACATCACTTTCATCAGAACGTCATTTCATTGTATGCACCTAATATTCTGTATACTGCTATAAGATTAGAGTGAAGTACATTAAGGTGGGAGTCGGAAGATCCATGCCTTGAAAACCTACACAAAACCCAAGCCCCTTGAAGGGCCGTCTGTTTTCTGCGTCAAGCCGCTGACCAGCGCGTCCGTAGTGACGATAATCAGGCTCCCGAGACAGCTGATGGGTGTAGAAGCCTCTAATTCATGGTGCTTGACCGGCAACCGGTTAGGCTCGTGCCAGGCGTCCAGCTGTTTCTGCAGGGGAGCTGTGGAGAGCAGTCAACGCCTGCTGATCTCCACAACAATGCAGCCGAGCGATAGCCCTTCTCAGATATTGTGAGAAACGTCAAAGTGAAAGTGATGGGACAATTGTACGCCTCCACTTTCCATTGCATATGGATGTTTCAATGCATTGCATGTTATGTCTCGTCACTTTGTACCTTGGTGTACTCATCCAGAGCCTCTTCGTATTTCCCTTCGCGGAACGCCTGGATGGCCTTCTCCTTCCACACCGCGGACTCTGCCTTCGCCTGCCTCCTGTTCTCTGCCCTTTCCGCCGCATCCGCCTCCAGCTGCCGCTTGAAATCCTCTGCAACGGGACAATCGTGATCAGCTGGACAGCTAGCGCTCTGTGTTTAAATAGACAGCCTCACATGGCGGCTGGGCTGGTTCATTGGCTCCCAGTGCCTGAGGGGACCGTTTCACATTTAGAATCTATTACAAAAAAGTTTTCCAATCTACGCTCAGGGTAAGTTCTTACCGCACGTGACTCTAACACAGTTATCACTTTGGTCACCCAGGTGATGCATTAGACTATCCCTTAGCATGTTCAGTTCAAGTTCTTATGATGAGCTGACGATCGTTCGATATACCAGGAAGAACTGATTGAACGACGTTATGGTGCTAAAGCAACGATTACATTAGCGGTACTCAAATTCCGAGTTGCGTCCACCCTCAAGAATGGATGTACTCAATCTCCGCTTATCTCCTGAGGATGAGAGCAGCTCGATATACTGAGTACCTCCAATACATCCGTTGTTTAGCACTATTAGATCGTTTAACCTGTACCTCCTGCTATGCTGAATGTTCGCTAAATGAGCTAAGAGCTTTGAGCTCATAATGCCGAAGAGCCAGGAGCTGAAGGTAGTTCATTCTTACATAAGCATCTGATTTACATTTCAGGCACAAGAAGCTAGTGAACACTGTTAAAATCGTTACTTTCGCTTTAACGACGATGGCTAACCATAAGTGTGCTGGCAGTTTACATAGCCAATCAGCCTGGATAGCCCAACGAATTTGGCATAAATCTGGTGGTCATGCTTCCAGTACTGCTGACGGCCGTCGGTATTATTTCTTGGGCCTAAGCCGCTAGGATTGCCGCTGGATGAAATATTTTGAGCACCACATTATCGTGGAGGTGAGGCATTGCAGGCATCTGTATGACTCATGATACAAAAAATTACATCATGGTGAGGCCGTATTCCATGGCGTTTGTATTTTGGAAATGTTTATGTTGAAAAATCCTATGATTATTCTCCGTCCTTAAGGCAGAGTTTATTTTCAGTGGGGAATGGGGGATGAGGTGGGATGGAAAATACAAGAACTTGGTTTATTAACTGCTATGGTAGTTTCTTATTGGGCATGTCGTATACACACGCATGCTAACGCATTGCACCTAACAACCATTTTATCTTTCAAAAATTGTTTTCCATATCTGTCGCGAATAACAAAAAAAAACGGAATTATCAGTATGATGGAGCACGCCATCTTCCATACCTGGACCCAACTCCAAGCCAATATCTTCAAGAGTAAGCGAGCTATGACCAGGCTATAACCGAGCTTTTTCGGTGCGGGGTGCCGTCGGTGGCTGCGCGTGGCGGCGGCCGCCTCTGAGCGCGCGGAGGCGGCCGCCTCTGATCGCGCGGGGGCGGGCTCTCCGCATGAGTGGCGGCGAGCGGCCGATAGCGGCACGACCGCATAATCAAAACAAAGGCTGCACGATGGAACAGCTCAAATGAATTGTATGCACGGCGGCCGATGTTGGCATTCGCAAATCAAGTGTGCCGGCGACTGGCGGCGGGCGGCGTATTTGATCCCAAGCCAGTGAACTGACCTGGTGAGCTGCGGCGGGGGGGGGGGGGGGGAGGGACTGCGGTAAGGCTGAAGTGAAGCGAAGTAAGCCCAAGGGTGCGACAGCCAATAGGTCGGGGACTTTGCAAAATGTAACGCCGAATACCCACCGTGGGAATAAGGCCGCGCAGTGATTGGGACGCTTCAGCTTCAGGAGCTGGTTAAACGAGTCAGTGGGTGTCATCAATGTTACGGGTACAAATGTCTACGGATTTTATCACGAATGTTTTGATCTGTAGTATGGAGGAAATCATGCGCGAGTGGCAGCCCACTGTGGGAAGATATAATTTGTTTGTAAAACTAAGCCAACGCTTTTTGAGGTTGGTATACGGTAGGCAAAGTTAATCTCAAATGACCTATAACTGGACTTTGACCTTCCACTGATCCGCAGCTAGCGCAAGAAGCCTAGCAAACAGAGGTTTGGGGTATACAGATCAAAAATGACCTGGAAGCAGGTGTTTCAGGGCATTGGTAAACCACTTCACATATGGCCATGCATGACCTGGCCTTGATCTAATTGCGTGTGGCCTGGCCCTGATCTCATCGTGTGAGACAGCCCACAAGGACTTAGGTAAGCTTCCAATCACATTGTTTCATGTTTCCTGGTGTACTGACCTCATGCAATGAAATACCACGCTGATGTTATCTCTGATTCAAGAAAGGCATGATTTTTACAGTTAACCTCAATTTTGAGCTTGTTTCCGACCTTAGGATTGGACAATTAAATGTTTTTTTCACTCCGTTTTAACAAGTATTTGATTTCCGTTTGAATTAGTGATGTCGATCCGCTACTGTTCAGAGAGAGCCAGGGAGAAATCTCCCCGCCCCCCGCCTCCCACGCTGTGCTGAGTGACATCGCACAACAAAAGACAGAGCTCAATCGTCGCTCGCACTCTCCCGGGCGGCATCAGAGTAGCGAGGGTCGGGGTATCGGGGCATGCAGCACCGGCATCGAAGTAGCGAGGGTCGGGGTGTCGGGGCATGCAGCACCGGCATCGGAGTAGCGAGGGTCGGGGTATCGGGGCATGCAGCACCGGCATCGGAGTAGCGAGGGTCGGGTTATCGGGGCATGCAGCACCGGCATCGGAGTAGCGAGGGTCGGGGTATCGGGGCATGCAGCACCGGCATCGGAGGGGCGAGGGTCGGGGTATCGGGCACGCAGCGCCGACATCGGAGTAGCGAGGGTCGGGGTATCGGGTACGCAGCACCGGCATCGGAGAGGCGAGGGTCGGGGTATCGGGGTACGCAGCACCGACATCGAGGGGCGAGAGTCGAGGTAGCGGGGCACGCAGCGCCAACATCAGAGTAGCGAGGGTCGGGGTATCGGGGTACGCAGCGCCAACATCAGAGTAGCGAGGGTCGGGGTATCGGGGCACGCGCAACATCAGAGTAGCGAGGGTCGGGTATCGGGGCACGCAGCACCGGCATCGGGTACGAGGGTCGGGGTATCGGGGTACGCAGCATCGGCATCGGAGTAGCGAGGGTCGGGGTATCGGGGTACGCAGCGCCAACATCAGAGTAGCGAGGGTCGGGGTATCGGGGCACGCAGCGCCAACATCAGAGTAGCGAGGGTCGGGGTATCGGGGCACGCAGCGCCAACTCTCGATCCGTACCCTGCTGAGCGGCCTCGGGCGGCAGCGCCGGCCGGGGGTTGACAGAGCACCGATTCTCAGCCGCCACCGTGCACTCGACGTGCTCGTCAACGGCGCCCTCAGCCAGCCGGCCGCGCACCAGCAGGTCGGCTCGCTCGGTCGCCCGTTGCACCTTCTCCGGGTCCGGCGAGCGGAGCGCCTCGATCAACGACGCTGCGGAACAGGTGCGGCCGGTCAGCGGTGGCCGACCGCGGTCGCCGAACAGGGGTGATGCACATGTTGGGTAGGTCACGCGCTCACAACCTGGAGACAGCTGTGGGTCACAGATGGAACTGCTGACCATGGGTCGGCGGCGCAATGGTCCGTGACGTCACACCACACACCGTGAGTTACAGGACACAGACAGCGCATATATATATATATATATATATATATATATATACATATATATGCATGGATGGCGGACATGTCAAAGCGAGTGGTGAGCCTGCCGGCAGGAGATGACAGACGCCGGTGACATGCCGCCTTCCTATGATCAGTCTTCGTTTTGACAGACATGCAAACTTACGGGCAACAGCCGACGCATATTTTGAACGTGAGATCTGCAGACAATAAATGCGCAGTCTTATCTCGGCGCATGATGTTCATTGTACCACGGCTCGTCTCTATCGAGCGCCACGCGGTATGGCTCGGTGCGGCCGAGGTCGTGGCCACCGGCCGTGACTGCCAGAAAACAACACCGTGGGAGAAAACCGACGCGGTGTCTATCTTCGCACCGCCTCGGTCATCTTAACTGTTGCACGTCACTCGAATATACTGGCAAAGAGACGGATGAGGAAGACGGGGGGGGGGGGGGGGGGGGCGGAGGCATGTGCTATAGCTCTCCTAAGTTTCGTGAAAGTTTAAGTAATGTTAACTTCATGGCGATACCGGAAAAAACTCACGCGAAAGTTGCTAAAGGTTTGAGCCAACCACTTTTTCAGCCTGTGTACGCCCCTATACAAACGTGGCCGTTTCTTCCGAGAACGGCGATAGCCGGTTTCCTGAAGAAATTTACAGCCTAAAGGGCCGGTTGTCCTCGGTGGCCGGTGATAGGAAGGCCACCATAAAGAGCGGCGCCGTTCTCGGAAGCTGCCCGGCCGTTCCACACGAGCAGCAAACTTCGGCGAGCTGCGGCGAAGCGAAGCCGCCAAGAACGCCAGAGTCGCGCACCTGGTGGCTCACCGGACGTCGGTCCGCTGTACGGCCTCGTAAAGACGAGCTGGTCACCGCACCGGACTGATGGAACCAATCGTAGTGAGCGTCGGGGAAGGTCAATTTCTGACGCAGCTGAATGCACAAAGAGCTTAGTTGAGCCTGTCGGGTGATCTATGGAGGTAGGCCATGTCCCACGCCTTTGGTTACGCCTTGCTCTGATTCAAGACAATTTACTCCGGTTGATTTCTTCATGCCTTGAGTTGCCGTCCGAATTAGATTGATGACGTAATAATGTTTTCGCCATCAAGTGCGTGTTTATGAAAAAAGCTACGAAATCACTTGATTCCTCCCTGTCAAAACACTGCCGACACGACCTGTTTTTACTGACACCGGAGCTTAGTTTCCTAGATCCGATAAATATCCTGCCAGTAACGCAAGTCACATCTTGACCAACAGCTTCAGCCAAGACATTTCATGTTTCAATTCCCATGATGCTGATTATGTTATTTAAAAATGAGATCGCAGTTCGATGGTGCCTCCATGCGCTTACAACATCCAAAAATTCAGAGCTTGGCGACCCGGCCCAACCCAGTTGACGTCGATGCCGGCACCGCTCGGGTACAGACTGGGTAAACTGAGTGCCTCGGTGCCGCTGCCATCTGTCATCGCTAATGTAACGGTTTGAGTGTTGGTCAACAAATGGCAGGATTGTTGCTTTGAATCTCGGAGCTTCTGGAAAGTCGTGAGACTGCGGTGCATACATGACTGCACACGAAATGTTCTCAGGACGAGCACAGTATCATAGACTTGGCACTCGACGAGCCCAGATAAGTACGAAGGCCAGATTGTTAACACCATGTGCACCGTTGCGACGAAGGGTAAGTAACTGCACCATTGACGATGATAACAATTCGAATAATTGTTCCATTTTTACCCCATGATTGTGTGCAGTAGTAGACGTTTTAACAAAAAGTTACTCATAGGCACTTGTTGCAATTAATTATTAATTACTTGGAATTCATTATTTCGAAAGTTTATTTTTCCCTCAGTGTCCATGAGTACAGTTTGAACTTCAGAGGCATTTGAGGTGGTTCTAACCATCTAAACCTAAACCCACACACGTCGGTACACCAGGGCTATCTTCTGAGGCATGCACAGAAGATGGCATGGTCAGCAAAGGTCATGCAACTCAGTACACTGATGAGTATTCATTTCTTCCAAATGAGACTGTTGCGTGGGAACACGATGACAACAAAGAGAGCGGGCAACAATGATTTCGCACATTTCACACAGGTCGGAGCAAACCATTTTCGTCGGCCAGACATTCAGAGGGCGTGGCATTAGCAAGTGCAAATCTCACTGCCTGGTACCTTAAGTTGAACTGGAACAAGCACAGCTTCACGTATTTACAGATACATACAGAATTACGATGCCTTTCAAAGATATACGTTGGCGCCTGCGAGAAGAAACTACACATTTGTGACACGCCCGTGGAATCAAAATCTTTGTAGTTTGGGCAGCCACAACTTAAATTGTAGCATGGTAAATAAACCCTATAAAAAGGGTCATGCCAATTTTTAACCAGTTTTCAAAATACCTCACAAACAAAAACGCTTCTCAGTCCTTTCCAAATAATGGCAAGGCGATATATGCGTGTGTATACATTACCTCTCTTTTTTTCTGTCTCCATATGAATAATATTGAACTGTAGTGTATACCGCGGGAGAGAGAGAGAGAGGGAGAGAGAGAGAGAGAGAGAGAGAGAGAGAGAGAGAGAGAGAGAGAGAGAGAGAGAGAGAGAGAGAGAGAGAGAGAGAGAGAGAGAGAGAGAGAGAGAGAGAGAGAGAGAGAGAGGAGAGAGAGAGAGAGAGAGAGAGAGAGAGAGAGAGAGAGAGAGAGAGCTAGAGAGCAAAATGTGAACCTAGTCCAGAAAAAAACACAGCATTAAATAGGACGGGTATAAAGTTCTTCAACACGTCAGCCGCCGCAGGGAAAGACAGCCACTAGACACCCATATCATAAAAATAGCTCTCAGGCAGGAACAATGGAAGGCCTCTTAAGTTGTCGGGGAGGGGGAGTAATAGCCATTTTTGGTTATATCATTCCAGTCAACGCCCACGATGCCACGATGTTGAACCTTCAGAAAGTTTGGAGGGCTCATCCCCCGGTGCCCCTTAGTACTCGCGTCCCCATACCCGAGTAAGAGGCAAAAGGGGAACAAGCCTGTGCTTGCACCATTTGCGGGTTTGCTCCCCTCATTGAGCGTTGGCATGCACCGTACGTACATTACGGCATGCACCGTACACTCGCATCATGCACCGTTGACAAACGACAAACTGCTTTTAATGCGCACTTCCTGTTTCTTGCAGATCTTGATGTGAATAAGTACGCGAAACTATCCGGCCTCCAGCTCGTCCAGGTCTGCGTGCAGGGATCCGGTCCGCAGCCTGGGATTAATCGTGATCCAAGCTGGTACTGCCATCGAGCTGGTGCTATCATGATGCGAGCTGGTGCTGTTATGATCCGCGAAGGTACTTTCGTGATCCGCACTGATGCTGTCGTGATCCGAGTTGGTGCCGTCATGATCCCAACTGGTGCTGTCATTATCCGAGCTGGTGCTGTCGTGACCCTAGCCGGCGCTGTCATAATCCGGGCTGGCGCTGTCACGATCCGTGCAGGTTCTGTCATGGTCCGAGCTCAGCTGCTGGTTGTTTGGTAGGCCATGACGTCGCTTAATCGCCCGTGCTGAGCTATGCGAGTACAAACCGCGGCCCACTGGCTGTGTTGTGCTCTGCTGAGCCGCGCTGGGGCAGGCCCGACGCTTTGCACTGAGCTGGGGCCAGCTTTGGCGTGTCGAGTCGCGTCAGGACTTGATGTTTGCGCTGTGTCACGGCCCGCTGTTTGCGCTGTGCTCCGCTGACACGCATGGCGTCGGATCCCGGTATTTCGCGCCGTGTGCTGAACTGTGCCATGTCCGTCTGTGTGCTGTGCTGTGCTGTGCACCGCTGTATCGTGCTGTGAGCTGTTCAGCGCGAGCCACTCTGCTGACTTGCGGATGTCTGACGCGCCGTGAGTCTGTTCGGCCTTCGTCACCGCTCTCAATAGACGCTGCATTTAGCTGGGTGCCAGTCACCGGCCATGACGGACGTAAACGTGTACGCAGCCGAGAAAAGGAAGGAGTCACAACATTCAAACGCCCGTGTCCTGTCCAACAAGGGACGACACTGGTGCAGAAATAGCCATGCACAGTCAGTCATCGTGAGTGCACGTCTCATGGCCAAGCGCCCTTAAACCAGAAGTAAGTTTGCTCCAGGAAATTCGATCCAACGCTATAAAGAAAACAATGCCCAAGGTTAGCAGCTTGTAAGTCGTTTATCTCCCAGCGGCAGCGTAGGGTGAGCAGCTGAAAGGAACGTGACGAGTCCTACAATCACATCCGTGCTGCCATTGATGGTGTCACTATCTGGGAAATAATCTAGCATGAAAACAGTACTAAACAAAGCACATATCGTCAGAGTAATCATCAGCATAATCTAAGAAATGCTTCACAACTCCAGACACCTGCTATGGCTATAAGTGTGATACCCATTACATAACATGCAGCGAGGGAAGTCTAGCACAGGAACCGGTTGAAAGGCTAAAAAGCGCGACAGCTCAGTCATGTCCGTAGCGGTTTCACGATATAAGCACTACAACAAAACCACTACGACAGCCGTGCTACGAGGTTACTTCCAGTGCCAACTTATACACATTAATGCTTTGTGACACAACTTGTGCTGTAAGAACTTATATTTGACATTCTGCGGCAAATACGTATGCGCAACATCAGTCCTAGATGGCAAAATTTACACTTTAAGCTTGTTCATGTATGTATTTACACCCCAAAAACATATGCAGTCATTACTTATACACGACTTTAACTCTATTGCAACGACCTATTCGTGACATTAGTGTTACAAGACAAAACTTATGCTTCAATACTTATACCCGCCATTGCCTTAACTGCAAAAAAATTA